CCACATACAGAGAAAAATTAAGAATTATTGTGAAGCATGTTATTGACTCATTTGTTGAAAAGGGTATGAGCTCACAAGAAATTTGAGTTTTTACCGAATACACGAGCGCAAGTGTGTGTGTGTGTGTGTGTGTGTGTGTGTGCTTGAGTTTCGTCACAGTGGGTGATTTTAGCGAGTCAATGAATATTATAATTTCCTCGCCTACCTTGCTTATCATTAGAGTTTTGCAGTGTCAATTTCCTTGATCATCTGTAGTGCTAGATGCTGAATACTCCCTTTCTCCTTTGAATATACTTTTTTTCGTACCGCTTAGCTCTATTATCCACCCCCCCCCCCTCTTTCACTTGTTTTGCATATTTTGTGAGTAAGCTATGTAAAGATTTCAAAAGCTTTTTATAGAAATGAGTGAGGTAACTTTGACAATCCTCGTAAGATTCTATTTTTATAATGAGACAATGTGAACCTCTGTGAGGTTCAAGACACTGAATTTTTCACCTTTATTCTGACAAATTAGTGGATTATCGCGCATACATCTATGTCCTGAAGCCCTAAGCTTCATGATTCATTATGTGTGAATTATAGTTCAACCTTTGATATATATATATATACGCTATCGATTGCACATACACACACACACACACTGTACATGTGTGCACGCAGTCAACCACTCTTTTCTACTACCACTACTGTTACTTAAATGTGTGGTTAAATGGGGTGATTAATACCAATTATGTTTATTTTGCTACCTCATTAATTGATTATTTACGTTCGATATGAATCATTGCACCTCTAAACAATTGCATGTGCGTGAAAATGTGAGCTTCCCTTTCTTTATACTTTTTACAACACTTGAATCATTTTTTCTCTCTTTTTGTGTCCATAATTTCTGCTTATATGTTTGCACTTTCTAATCACTTTCTTGCGTGTGTGGTTTCAAGTTTTCTTAAGGCAACTTTTCTCTTGATAACTAGATTGCGTCTACGATCGAGTGTGACTGAACTCTTCGAATGATATTAACGATGTTGTGAACATTTATTTGCAATTTTCGTCACTACAATTTACGGCATTTTCACGGGTCTTTCTTATGATTTGTGCTTAGTGGGCATAATAAAATGTGCAATCGAATTGAATGGTCTTATTTCATTAGAAGCTTATTAGGGCTTTAAGTTTACTTCAAACAAAAGTTCTCATCTGAAACTACAGTTGCTTAATTTTTTTGTTTTATTGATTTTTATGCCATGCCATATTCGTTTTTCCACTTAGCAATACTTCGTAGGCAACCGCGATGTGACCGTAGAAGCCAAGGAGAAGAAACAAACTGTGTACATCTACAAATGCCAAGATAGTTGCATCAAAGTCAGTGGCAAAGTCAACTCTATTGCACTTGGTAAGTTCCAGTCTGTGATTACACTTCTTTTCTACCAAGTGATTGTAATGCACTCACGTCGATATTTTTCATGCTCGATTTATTCAGCCAATCAATCACAGCCGCTTCTATTCTTTGATTTGCTATACTTCGTTTTTCCATACACTTAGTTTTGCCACTGTTTTGCTCAAGTAAGAGGTTTTCCCCCTGTTACCATCAATATCACTTAAGTGTTGTTTTTTCATCCTCCATACTGAGTGTGCATCTAAAGATCACGGAGGTACTTGAATTGTAAAGATGCTCAATTCATCAATTTTACCCCCCCCCCCCCTCCAATTTTTACTTTTTAATACAAACCTAGCTAGTTATTCTGACCCCAACTTACACTTTAAGTACTGCGTGGTACACACTTTGAGTGCTTAAGATAAACCTCAACATGGAATTTGAATTAATCTACTTGTTCTGAATTTTAGATAGTTGCAAGAAGACCGCCCTCGTGTTTGATACCGTCATCTCCACAGTTGATGTCGTCAACTGCCAAGGGGTTCAAGTACAAGTTAAGGGTGTCATGCCAACGGTCAATATTGACAAAACTGATGGTTGCCAGGTCTATTTGAATGAAGAGTCGAAAGATGTTGACATCATCACTGCGAAGTCTTCCGAAATGAATATTCTCGTACCTGCTCATGATGGAGATTATGTAAGTTTTAAACGCAACAACTACTTATTAAATATGAAGTAGCATGTGCTAATTTACAATTGTGTTACCGTAGACTGAATATAATGTGCCGGAACAATTCAAGACCAAGTTCGTGGTAGATCGTCTTGAAACAAAGGTCAATGATCTTTCATAAATGAACAATGACAAATGAACTTCCTCCTCTCTATTCCGCAACTATAATTGCTTCACACAATTGCCGTTTTACTGCTTAAGTCAATACTTTGTCTCCTCTTTTTGCTGATAAATTTGTCATATGCTAATTACTTATTATTTCTTTCCATTTTTAATTGGGCTGTTGTTTAATTTATAAGTAGTTATTGATTATATTTAAATTGGAAGCCTTCGTGATTATCTGAAATATCAAAATATGGATCTATTGGAGCCTACTGAGAAGTGATTTTGCTTAACATCTATAAATGGGCAGTAAAATAATGCAAAAAGTTAGATGGGAGTTGATCGGTTAAAATAAAATTAGTAGGCCAAGTTGTTGGAAGTCCAACATAATTTACTGGTCAATTTTTTGCTTAGCAGGCAAAGTTTCATATGAACGTGCATGCACAGAATAGGTTACTTATACTGTATACTTTAGCCTAGAAACTGGGGTAGTGAGAGTAGTAACGCGTGCAGACGACTCCCTTTTGGAAGCATACAGAATCCAGTTTGTTTAAAATTTCTTAATTTCCCTAGCAGTGGAATACGTGGAGTTGACACTGAGTGTTAACTTCCTTCCGTTAGTAAGCAGAAAACATCCGAGAACAAGATGAACTCTACTTTTTGATAATTACAACGCTTAAATAATAACAGTTGTTTTCTGATCACAATATATCACAATTGAAAAGATCCATCTCTAGGGTTGCCGTCGCTTGACTCACATTAACTCGACACGTCCTGGCGACCATATTAGGACTCAAGAATGCACACGGCTAGGGCCACAACACTTTTATTAAATGAGTTGAACTATGGCTACTTGAATACTAAATAACCGATGAAGTCGATCAAATTTTGCATGCCAGAAGATAACATAATCCTAGCCAACATCTTTTAATGTTATAAACTTCAATAAGATGAAAACCCAAGGCTCACAAACCAGTTCCCACCCATCTGCACCCATGGTCAATTGGTGGACTTCCCGAATTTCTGAGCCCCTTAATTAACGGCACTCGTATTCCCTGAAGCCTATTCACCACTGCCCAAGTTAGTAATACTCAAAGTACCTGTTCAAAGACCTCAAATGACAAGTGAAAAGTCAAATAAATAATTTATCGTTGCAGAGCCCACATTTACAATCCCATCCAAGATAAACCCTCTAATTCAAATCAAAATGAATAATAATTACGTGTACGAAAACTAATCATTTATATACAAAAACCGCTGTACAATAAAAAAATTAAGTAGGCCTAAATTTAATGTTCTTCTCTTCTCCTCTTAAACGGACGACCACCGCCACCTCCACGTGATGAGAAGGAACGCTTCCTGTTGAAACCAACTTGATTCTTATCCACACTAGACTCCAGCTCATTTAGCTTTTTCTCCAAGTACACCCGCGCACGAGCACCCATTTCCTTGTCCGCTGTCTCATCACCTAAAGCATCTAATCGAATAGATAGAGCGGCTTTGGCGGCTAGCATTCTTGACATCTTCCCCTTAAGACTCGCAGATGCTTGACCAACCAAACTGGCATGGTATAGTAGGCCGTACTTTGGTGTCGCGTGACGAGTTTTCAGGGCACGGAAAAGGGCTTTCTCGGCACCAAGAATCTGAACGGTCGAAGCGGCGTGCTTCGCCAAATTCACCAATCGCCCTGCCTTTGCAATTAACCTTGCACCGAGAATTTCTCCAACAAGGGAGGTTAAATTTGGAGCCACAGCAACCATTCGCCTTCCAATGTACTCATAGAGAACGGCTCTCTCATTGGACAAATCGAGAATTTGATCACACAGAACCTGAATGATTTCAATGTCTTTTTCTGTGAGATCAGTTCCCAATGAAATTTTGATCGCATCTTTAATTTGATCCACTTTTTCATCGCCGACAATTTCGCCTATTTCCATATTTTCAACATTGCTTTTTATACCAACATTCTTGACAAACTTTACGTATGCCATGTTGTCATCCAAAATTTTGTTCAATTCAGGGAAGTGCCAACCATACATCTCCTTGCACCGCATCACATAGTTATTGATTTCTTTATCCAAATCATCTAGCAATCCAATTGCTTGGACGATCATTGTATCAATTTTATCTGGATTGCACTTTAACTTATAGCGATCAAGGCTGTGCGCCAAACCCAGCCGCATAGTTTGCATTTCCTTGTCCTCAATTGGAAGCATTGTGTCCATATGGACTCTTATACCTCTCATCAAATTTGTTATCTTTTCACTTGTCATTGTACGAATTTTCATTTCTAACTATAACAAGGTAAGTTTAAAACAGAATTACTTACGCCAATCGCTCTTGATAGTTTATTATCAGCAACAGCTAGGATCTCCTCTTTATTTTCCTTAAAAGTCTTCTTAAGTAGCTTCTTTAATTTCTTTGAAATCTTGCCATCGCACACATCTGCAGTAGCTAAAAGTAACAACGACTGATAGTTACGCTTTAAGAAAGTAATTTGGATAGTATGACAATTACGGAGACTTATGCTGACAAGTCTAACTTACCTTGAAGAGCATCTGCAATATTCTTGAATTTCACAAACTTCTGCAATTCAAGCCTATAATCGAAACGTGTGAATTAGAAACTGGAGAAACAAATGTAAATTGCAAAGATAAAAGTCCTCAGTACGGTAAGTTTATCAATCATAGTAGCAGAGACTCTAGTCCGTAATCTCATCACGTTTAAATAAACAAATGAAAGTTGCAAGATCTTACGTTTGGTTGAGGAAATCCTGATTCTCGAGTTCTTTAGCTGAGTTTTGTACTGACTCAAATGCAGCTTCATTTCTGACTTTGAACAGGGCGAAGCCAGCCGCAGTTTCAAATAGGACAAGCATTGCAACAACGTGGTCACAGCACACTGACCGCCTTTAGAACTGTTGTTAATAGCTTAAACAAAGTTCATTACCTAAATATCTTTTGATAAATAATATTTTATGATCTCATAAAATTATGTTAATATCTTTAATTACTTATCCTTGAACATTTTACTTTTTACTCTTCTTAATCCAATAAATCTCAGTTCGAGTTTAGCATGTTGCTAACTAGAAGCTTAGATTAAGGCGATTGACATGAAAGCTAAAACGTTTTTATTTTAATTTTTATTTATTAATACATTATTGAATATATCTTTCGTTTTAGCAATTTTCAACAGGTCTTTCCTTTGTTTCCTGTCAAAATATTTTTCGTAGACATTTACGATTAAGTTTTTCCGATATAGAAGTAAATCATTGGTTAAAATAAAATTTATTTTTGACGACTTAACAAACAATATCTTTTATTTTTAAAGCAGTACCGAAATGTATGTGACAGCTACGATAATGATTTGTTAGTCGATAGTTACATTTTATTAAGGGTTAATTTAGTTTTGAAAACTATTTTAAAAATTACAACCGCAATTAAATAATAAAATAGTCCTGAAGAGGTGGCGTAAATATTAATGATTTTCGACAGTTTATTTAATATCCTTCAGAGAACTTCTGCCTTTACACAGATCCCCGACTTCAACGCTAAATTACCTCTTGGCGTCATGCAATTATTGGTGAAAAATAGAAGATGGTCTATTTCTAATTACCATTGACATTTCATTTTTCACAGTCATGGGAAAATGTAATGAGCAGACTAACAAATAATGCGATATGCCAATATAATGAATATATATATATATATATATATATATATATATCGGAAAATATAACTACTTTCAGTGTTACCTTGAGATTATGTTCATATCTGAAGCAATATTTAGATACGGACAAATCTGTTTCCTTATTGACTTGTAGATTCACATATTTGTATGCCTGCTTTGTATTGATGTGGTAATTAAATAAAAGTCCATTCAAACCAAAGTATTTTGTTATAGGTCTTTGGATATCCCTCTTTTATAGAAAGTTCGCTGATTTTGTCCTTGGTCATTTTGTTGGCGAACAATAGGAGGAAGGGGAGGGGGAGGCAGGAGGGAGGGCGATCTATGAGAAAGAAACGCAAGCCTCCTCAGGATTGATAAGTTGAAGACTGTTTTCGCACTTTAGTAGGATTCGACCGTGTCACCAGTTGTGAGGTGTGAAGCATTGATATAGAGATATTTTTTTCAAGTTGCAGGTGTTTTGATAGTTATCGTTAGCCCTTCAGCTGACCTCGGGCTTCACAGAGAGAAGGAGGAACATCAGAGTGAAAAAAGCCGAGACGGGGGAAAGAATAATGATTCATAGATGTAAAAGAAACAGACAAAGGTAGAGGAAAAGGTGAGTTGAGTACTGTGGAAGGAGTCGAATATGGCATACAGTCTGTTCATGGTAGTTTGAAGTCAGAAGTCAATTGCCGGTTTATA